TTGCATGTGTGCTTTTTTAAAATCTTTTGATTTTTTGTATATTTTTATTTCGTTTTTATGCCCCGCGGCGAAGCCGAAGGGGCATACTGTTTCCGCCTTGTCCTTCCGTAGGTGAGTGAGTATGTGTGCGTGTGTGTGCGTGTACAAACACTGCCTTGTGGGGTACTGGAACAATGGGAGATACCCCACAAGGAATGCCCACCAACTTGCGGGGTACCGTTTTGGTACCTAAATGTGGCGTAAGTCGAACGTCATCGCCCTCCTAAATCTCACTGCAGGCAAAAAGTTATCGTCCCAAATCCCTATGAAATCCCCACATTTAAGATGCTGGAACGTCTCCTCAACCGTCTTGCCCCCTTCATTGAGAAAAACTGATGAAGGAACATGCAGGCAGGCTTCCGTCCCGGCTAATCTACAACTGGACAACTTCAATAAACCTCACTCAGTAAATAAGGGACGGCTTTCCACCAGAAAATCTGCCAACTCCTTCAGAAGATCCTGGATATGACGGCAGACCTGACCCTTACTCAGTTTATTGGTGTTGTATCGAAAAATAGGTAGTATTTATTTCTTTTTTTTTTAGAATTCAATGGCAAAAGAGAAGAGTACATCTGAGAAGAGTACATCTTAAACGGAACGGTCTCCCTTAACCCTAACTCCCTAGACCTTTTTGCTAGGATGTAGCCTCAATCCTGCAAAATCCTCCAATTGGCCTCATGGAAATATAGCATATAGCCTCAATCCTGAAAATTCCTCCTCTATTTCTTGAATATGGTCCATGGAGGGGTGACCACTGCCTGAATCCTGCAAAATCCTCCGGCTATGACTGTCAATAGGCTGAGGCAGAGGCAGTGATATCCTGGAGCAGTGCGGAGGATGTCAAGTATAATCAAGGGCTTAATTTATGCACGGCTGAGCATAAACAACACAAGGTCCGGCGAGGTTTAATTAGAATATCGCGAACAAAGGGCTTGATGGTGGCAGCGAGTAGGTGGGAGTGTCCAACCTTCGAAAACATCATTCTTAAGTGTCACATCCCCGTGCGTTTGGGGAGGGGCACCGCCTAAAGACCCCCCAAAATTGACTTTTAATTAGAATGTCGTGCACAAGCACGATTCCAACGCGAAAAGATAGTATTCGATGAACTTATCAATGACCAATAGTTTAAGAATGAGAAATCCCGTGCATTCCTTGCTTAAGAATGGCCTAATTAGTGCTAATTATTCACCTTTTTACGATATAGAAAAGCCTGCCCAGCACATGAATGGACTGGAAATCATACCCAATCATGACGGATCTTGAATTATTAAATTACGAAGAACCGCATCGAAGGTCTGAATCAAGCACAAGATTAAGGATCTGACGAACACTTTAGCGATCCTAAGGGCCATTATCTCCCCAGATTGATGGTAGTTCTTTTCGGCATAAAAAAAATGAAACAAAATGGTCGGGAGTGATGATTTTCCCATTTAAAACTCCTATCAAATTGGATACACCAACTTTAGAAGCGCAAACTAATACTAAACGAGCATGTTTCCCACTCATCCGAAAACATAGATCCCTGCTGTCCGAATAAAGTCATGTGCATGTTTTACATATTTTTACAGTTGTCCATGGAGAGTGTTTAACTTTTCCAACCAAAGGCGCACATTTTGTACTAAAAAAGTGGGGGGGGAAAAGAATTTCATATTATTATCAGTTCGATACATCCAAGTTCTTTAATTTTGATCAAAATAAACTTGAATGGGCCGGTTATGAATGTGTACCGGTACTTTTTTAGTGGTTGGAGGGGAACACCTATCGTGTATATTTAATGGTTTTAAATAGCTTGGTGAACTAAATAATAAATGACGCAAAAAGTACTTGTTATGGCTGATACATTAACATCAATCAGAACCGCTACAATGCACTGCGAGATACAATTTCTAACTGGTTTCCTTCTTAGTTAGGGCCTTTAAAATCAGGGAATGGAAGTGTTTCAAAGGACACCGTCTGGTGGCGAGTACCGCTAGGAAATTTAAAACTAACACAAAAAGTAATGATTACAATCAAGTTTTGATCATGGCCCACTCATGCATGATCAAAACATGAAAGTGAAAGTGAAAGTGAAAGTGAAAGTGGCCAAATTCCTCGGATTGCACCACTGTACATCTAGAATCCGGTTTTTTTTCTGAGACCCTTCAGCAGGCCTAGGACTCCACGTCGTATTGGCTTCGCAAATAAAAAGTTCCACGTTTGGATTTAAAGACCCCCCCCCCCCCCCTCTGTGATCAGGGAACGGGACCGACACTGCTGACAAGGCAACAGTAGGGACGGGGGCACAGGGAGGAACCGGCATTTAATGAGGGGGCACCGAGGTCGGATCAACATCATTTCCCCTCAATTTCCAGGCCACCACAAGTGCTGCCAATTTGAAAAGCAGGGGATGGGCTGGAACTCTTTAAACGCTTCAAGACGCTCTTTTTTCGTATTAATTTATTCACATTTTATAAAGCTGTGCGGTTAAGGAAAGTCATTATAAGGGAGTAGTCGACTGTATTCCTCTCCGTTTTATCAACTCACAAAAATTCTTTTAGAAGAAACTTCCTTGGCAACCTGGGGGCACCTTGGGCCCTTCGAGAACCAAAAATTACGATTTGCAATGAGAGCCACACTGCACTGAGTGAAATTTGTTTTTGAAAATGCATGCATGCATTATTAAAAGTTTTTTCCGCGAAACCCTTAAACTTTTTTTTGTTTTTGTTGCGACCCGAGAGCTGTTTTGACTTTTTGAGCCTCGAGTCTTGCGCATCTTTTGATACCAAAAAACATACAATTCGGACCAGGGGTTGCTGCGCAACGAAACATTTCCGGCGCGTAAATCTGAATTTCCCATATACGTAGTGCGCACATTTGAATTACCATTTGTGCATATGAATAATTAATTAATCAGGTCAAGGTCACTAAAGGTCAGTGGAAAAAATGGCAACAGCAATTTTCTTGTTCTCAAGACTCATAACAATACACTATAATGGTTGACATCAATTCCCTTTTGTATTTTGTTAGAAGCGTTCAGTTGACCACCTTAGACTCTAAACCACTTTTTTTATATTTCAGTTTCATTATTTAGCCAGACTGCCAAAATGCTCTAATAAAAATCTTGTTGTTTTTCCCCATACAGAACTCTGATAGAGTTTGCAAAGTCAAATGATCAAGTTGCCAAGGATATTGCTAAAAGGTAAATGTACACTTACTTCACCCCGACCCAAAAATTCCATCTTTTGAATATAGACAGAGCTGGATAGGGTTTAATCAAAATCTCGGGAACAAATCCCCTCATTGTGTTAAAGCATCGACCCTGATCACAGAATGGCCAGTCTTAAGTTTCGCTAGATCAGACAAAGGCCCATTGGCCAAACGTGGCAAATTTTGCATTTAATCAAAATTTTGAGAACAAGAACAACACCAGTATCATTTGATAGCTTGGAACTTGTAGATTATGGAAATATAACTTGAGAGCGATTGTAGATCAGACTAATTAACTTAAGAGCGGCCCAAAAAGCGTGGAGGGTGGGCGTGGCCTTCACCCCCTCTTTTTCCTTTTCGCTGCTACTATTGCAGCACAACGGTAGAAGAGAAATTGAAAGCAGTTTGTGTTGATGCCTTGGCACTTGCGGAACATGAAAATATTAATTAAGGTTGCTTTTTAGATCAGGCGGAAAAAAAACAGAAAGGGGCGGGACCTCACCCCCCATGTATATTTTGGCTCCTGTCGTCGCAACGCATTTCTTAAATCCTGCCAAGATTCTTTGACAGTTGTTCAGATGTCTTGCGGTTATTTTAACACCAGGTTTATGAAAATGTGGCATACCTTCGTCACAAAATGTCCATTTCCAACACAGGTATACCAAATTTCAACTTTTCCCATTGAAAAGCACATGCACATGAAAGCGTGCATCGAGTGCCGACTAGACTAACAAATCAAATAGAAGCTGTGCAAATATACTTCAAATTAAAATGGGAAAATGAAACAATTTTTATTGATGCCTTGGCACATGTGGACATAAAGAATATCACTTGAAGAATATAACTTATGTATATAATCCAAAGTCAGACTAGTCAGGGTCGGCTTTAAGACAATCAAGAGATTTGTTCCCGAAATTTTCATTAAACCCTATCCAGCCAGCTCTCAGTCTAATAGTAAATACGGTACCCACTGCTGTATACATCGAACCAGCCAACCGATCTCGTTAGCTCGGTGGTCGAGTGGTAAGACCCACCCGAGTGACTTGTTTTCAAACTTTCATTGGGGAGGTAAAACTATATACTGTGTTAATACGTCGAAAAAGGGCAAAACCTAATCTGATAGACAAAACATAATTACTAATTAGTTATTGACGATCAAGTTGTGTTCACTAATTCAATGTTATATAAATATAACTGGGCTTGATTGGAGTAAGCAGTACTGAGAAATCATCTCAACGTAAAGTGGAGGGAGTTATTCAAAACCAGCCAACACTAGTTATTATTCACAATTTTCTTAAAACCAACCTTGTTACATTTGTTATAATTACACCTCGTAGCTTCATTAGAAAAATGCTTATAATAATTGGTGTGCCATGAAAGCTACCCATAATCCAAATTGTGGGATTCTTCTTTCGTGGTACTTCTGGCATTTTTGCATGTTCAAGATAGCTGCTTCCTGTAATGTGTCAGAACATCGACCTAGAATTTGTGGAGTTCATAAATATGTACTGTTCATGCTCCTTTAAAATGTTATTTAAATTATTTAAAAAGTAAAAGGTTATTTAAATTATTTGTGTTGTTTCAAATAATTTGCGTTCTTTTTTATTATTATGAAACAGAGGGAGGGACTTCATATGGAATCACCTTCAAATGGAGGATATATCTTGTTATTGGAAAAAACTGCTGAAGGAATATTCCAAGCTCATCAAGTATAAAGTGGTAAGAAACAAAGACTTGCATCAGGTACTACCATAGGAAGAGTAAGACAAGAAAAATGTAAACACTTGTCACTCAAAGGTAGAAACATAATTAAGCATCACCTGATTTGTTGAATTGTTTGATCTGCAGTTAGGAAACATGCCCATAAAGTTAAACAAGCTATTAAATGTATAAACAACGGTTGTTTCAACCGTAGACTGATAAGTGTCGAAGGTGTCTTGGCGGTATCTGCTTGACCATGGATTGAAATTGTGTCTCTAGTAAGACGTCAGTTGTGATTTGGTGGTGTTTTTTTTTCAGGGGGGAGGTGGGTTAATATTTTTGTAAATTTGCGTAGCTTGCACCAAAGGTAAGACTTTGTGCATCAAATTTCTTGTGCAGCTGCGCGCAATAAACGTACGATTGATTTCACGAAAACTTGGTGAAGCTGCCTAATGTTTTAAATAATCTAAGCATCTTGGACGAGGATAATAACAGCATTTACGACGGCTATTGTTTCGGTTTGCGGGTAACACAATGTGGTAATAACTACGCTCAGTAGATATTTAGTTTATGAAAAGAACTTGTCCTGCTCATTAATCCACTTTCGCTTAGTAGTTTTTAGTAGATCAGAACAGTCCTGCTTTAAGTTTTACAAAACAATGAGGTTGCATCCGAATTCACAGTCTTGAGCTAGGTCTAGGTCTTCGCCGTTCGAAAATACGCGGGGACCGGCTGACAATTGTAGCTCTGTTCTGACCATACCCTACTTGTGGGGTGATGTTCCTTTCATCACACATCACCCCACTATTTTAACAATAGAAAACATCACCCCATAAGAGAATCTTTAGAAAAAGGGACAATGGGAACACAATGGCCGGAGTGCCTGGAAGCACACGGCCCGAGGCGCTCGCTGGACGTCACGTTTGGCAGCCATGCATTGCATGGCCTTATGGGATACTTACCCAAGCACCGGCTCGGCGAGTCGGCTCGGCGAGTCTGCCAGGCTTGAGTAAGCACAAGAGTCGCGTGAGAGGTAAATCGAACGCTGTCGCGCTTGCACGAGTAAGTGCGGGGGAATGTTCAAACGACCCCAATACCAGGCTGAGAGCGCAGGTAGTGGTGTGTGCGTAATTGCTCGACACCCTGGAAACGAGGTTGGATTATGAGGGTTTTTGCCAAAATCATAACGATTTCCCTCACCATCAAAAAGTCATTGCCAACGAGTGAATAAGGAGAGGTAAAGGACCGTCCAATAAATTACATCAGCTCGAAATGCCGATTTTTTTTCAATCCCACTCCCCCTGGGCTGTATGCACGGCCATTAGTTAGTGTGAACCCCTTCTGCATGCGGTCCCTCAAATGTAATAAACTCTATAGGCAATTGACTGGTCGGAAGCACTTAAAAAATATCGAAATGCCGAGGGTTGAAGAGTACAGTTTTAAGCTTTTCGATGCATAAAAGGTGGTCCTTGGAGGTATTTAATGTGAGAAAGTGCATTGTTTTCATAACAATTTAGTGAAGGAAAACCGTCACTCTGCGTATGTTCACATTGGCTTGGACCCTTCCCTCCCCCCCCCCTATGCATGGTGTATACCGTGTTTAATCTCCCCACACCCTTTCGTGCGTACGTACTTTATGGGCGTACTCTTTTCTTGAAGTTGTATCGCATTTGTACTAAAAACAAATGCTGATTAGCCCTTTCTTGAACTTTTGGGCAATGCAAATGTTGCAAATGATTTAATGATGCCGTTTTAAGTCCATTGACGATTCTCCCAATCGCCCCAACATAAAAGGCAAACATAAGCCTGAGGGCCATTCTTACTCACGAATGGCGCGTTACCGAGCGGCATTATCCGAATTAAACTCCACCCGTGACGTCCCCTATTGTTTCCAGGCTCCATTATTTTGGACAAATGGAACGATTTTGTTTCATACAAAGACTTGTCCTTTGTCCTATTGCGTAACTGTAAACTGTATTAGAATCAATGGAATTATACAGAATTGTACTGCGAATAAGAATATGTTCTTACGTAATCAATACAATGCTGGATTCTAGACGCGCTTGGTACAAATGCTAAACCCCACCCAGGCACCATGCATTCGTTCTTGAATAGCGTGCTTATAACACGCAGTGTTCAGTCTCAATACGTTGGAGGAAATAGTGCCGTACAGTGGAATTATAGCGTGCCAGGAAACCGTCTTTGATAGGTGCTGAAACTAGCTCCATGGATATATCGGATGATAATTTACTGGCCGCCTTAAACATTGCCTGGGACATATACAAGACCATTTCGACACTCCGAATGAATATGAAGATTGTAAACTATTGAATGTAAAGGTAAGAAGTTACCCTTTTTGTCAAGTAAAAATAACAGCTAATAAAATCCAAAATTTAAATGTTGTATGTTGAGCATGATAATGTCAGATACATTAAGTTTTATTGTTTAAAGCCCGGTTCATACTTGTCGGCATGATATTCGCACATGCTTTCGCGTGAAGTATTGAACCGGGCTTAATTTGTTATCTGATTTATTCAGAAATCGTGTTTGCACTAAGACTGTTCTAATTCGAAGCTTTCTGTGTCGTCACTTTGCAATTGTCAAAGCTACCCTGTGCCTTTTACGGCTTTGTAAGACTTAAGTGGATTTACAGGAAAACGACCTTATGCTTCCGTCTAATTGTTTGACCCCAAAAACTACTTTTCTGATTTTGTTTTCTTCTAATTCTGGCTATACAGACTGTGGATAGTGTCACGAAGAGGGTCAACACTGTAGCAGTCTCCAGTCAGACTACTTCGTATCCAACGCAACTCGAGACTATAACTACTCATCATTAGACAAAGGAAGGACGAGCTAAAACCACTAAAAATTGCAAGATTAAGATTTTGGTGCATTTTTTAAGCAAAACAGCTACAAGTCTTCCAGGCCGGGTTTACATTGCACGAACGATTTTCCTTCAACTGTTCTTGGACACCATGGAAAAGACCTACACATTTTTTCAGGATGTTGAGTTCTTGCCGATCAAGAATTTCTAGGGCTGTATGCTAGGCATTGAAACCCAGTAACAAGATTGAGATATAAATTGTACTGCGAAACTTGTCAAAACATTTGCTTTAACTGGAAACATTTATATCGTTGAAACGTTCATGCAACAGCATGTAACTATATACGAACATTCTGTGCAAGAAAATATGGTTCTTGACTTCCGCCTTAACACTGTAAGAAGATGTTTTAGGAAAAATTCCATTTGAGAAACGGCGTAGCATGCTATATAAGAAACATAAATGGTTCCTAAATCTCACGTAATCTACGAATGATGCATAAAATTCCATTTGAGAAACGGTGTAGGACTTACGAGAAAATTCTGTGCGAGAAAAAAAAATGGTTCTTGACTTGCGTATTAAGCATTGTTACGACATGTAACGTACAGTGGAATTATCAAACGGTGTAGTAAAGTTGCAACTGTGCAAAACTATAATTGTCATTTTTGGTGTTTCTTTATTTCCCGCTCCATTATTTTGTAGGAATAGAGTGATGGAGGCCTACCTTCCAAAATGATTACCTGTCTGTGAGATCGTTTGCCAGTTTTTCCGCGTTTCCGAAATAGGTAACGATGGAATTCCATTTTTACTTGGTTACTTTATTTTTGAATTCCGCGTTTCTGATTAATTATCACAGTTTCGCGGGATCGAAAAAGGCAATTCAAGCTTCCGCAGTAGCGTACAACGTTTTCAGTCTAAACAAATCTGCGCCAGATTACAGAGCCAACTTACACTACCCTAGTTCACGACGTGCCACATGTACATGTCCAAAGTCCAAGTCATACGTTGTTTTTTTTTGGGGGGGGGGGAATAAACTAAGACATACTGGGGTCAACATAAAATCACCTTATGTAAATGTCTTTATTATAAACGCATGTAGCGAAAAATGTTGCCTGTTTGGAGCAACATTTTCACGGTGTTATTTTTTTTACTTAAACGAATTGTTTTTGTTTTTGTTTTTTAAATACATACATTTTCAGCTACAAGGGTATATTTTGTTTACACCAGACGACGCACGATCAATTAATGTTGGCTTGTCACTGACCGGAAATCTCGATCTTATCCAATCTCAGTGAAATGTTTACATGTTATCTTTGGCTCCCAGGAGAATAAAGTGCTAATGAGTCTCCATTGGAGCATTTGCAAAAATTTCATTGTGTAGCGCCATCGTATTTCATGCATTGAGGCTAGCCCATTGCTTGCCCAGCAAATGTGAACTTAAACCGCCTCCATGTTTATTACCCTTTATGTGTTTTACCAAGATTATGTAATCGGACAGGAGCAAATACAAACTCCGTGCGTTCGATTGCTACCCCCGCGTTTCTCGTGCAAGCGCGACAGCGTTTGATTTACCTCTCACATGACTATTGGCGCTTATTCGATCCTGGCCCAAGTAACTGACTCGCCGAACCGCAACGTCCGGCGGTCGCCTCAGGACGTGTCCAAAACGGGCTTCCACGGGGCATAGAGCTACAAACCTTATGTAGCGCTATGATATTTTGCCCAGCAAACCACGGGGAAAACGAGTTGTTTGTTAATCGGCCTAATGAGTGAACGAGCGAAGAAAAATCTCTAAATTATTTGAAAGAAATATTTTGACATTTTTATTTGACATAATGATTTGCAAGCATATTTGAATATTTTTTTTTGGAGGGGGGATTGTTTTGAACTTATTCAAGTCTCCCACGTTAGGCCTAATTTAAGTCAAGTATACGGACAACCAGCAAATTTGGTGCCTGTTTTGGAATACCTTACAACTTTCCTGAGATCAGCTTCAGCTAAATATTTCGACAAAAACAACATTCTAGGATCTCGATTTCCAATTAAAAGTTGCTGCCTCATGTTTTGAATTGGGCCTGAATTTCAGCGTCAAAGACACTTGTTTCGCTTTTCAAGCTACGCGATGTAGAATTATTGCAACCGCGCGACGCCGTGTGCGTCGTGTCAACGCTTGCGGCGCGCTTTGCCGAGTAAAAAAAAAAAAAGACATACTAACGGAAATGTCCAACAGTACCCGTCTGGCGCACAGTATACAAATATTTACATGGTTTGAGGTTGGATAGTCGATAATCGCTCCCCTAGGTATTGGAAGTTTTTCGTTGCAGTATGCAGTTCACCAAAGAATCGTATTACTCAACTTTTAACTTGTTCAATTCGTTTACAATACAGTGCAGCTGTAAATACAGTAGTTTGTTTAAAACATTCTTTTGTAAAGGAGGCGTCTTTATTGTCCATAAATATTCTCTAGTTTGGCATCATTGAGCTCGAGAAAATAACGCACCCGTGCAACATTCTCTTCGTGTGTAGCTCGTTTGGGCGATGTTTGCGCGCGTGTACTACACCCGTGCGACGAATGCTTTTGTAAAGTGCATGCGTAGTAGACCGTCTTCACGAGTTACCCGTGCGACAGTCTATTACGCATGCGTTTTTACCCTGTGCGTGAATCTTCGCGCACGCGCTTGGTAAACAGCAAAATTAACATCTGGTACGTGTTGTGAATTGACCAGTGAGAGTTCGGCTACATATTAGGTTTTCCCGGCGAATTTCGGAATTTTTCTAATCAGTTTCATTATCAGCCATTCAATTTCGGGTGAGTTTGGCACATGTGGTCAAATTGGGGTTTCTTTTTCATTTTGGGTTCATTCAATTTCATTTTTAGGCAGCCAAGATTTTGCTCTGAATGTTTATTTTAATTTTCGAGCATCCTATTTCGTTTTGCTGCATTCAAGACTTAAATTGTATCAGACTTAAATTAAGTCTTTGCAACCTTTTGACGGTTGACGCATTCAAATTAGCGAACATCTGTGCGCTTATAACGTATAACCATGCTTTTCGTATCTTTTTCGTTTATGGGCAAATCGCCTTCATCGTTTGGTCATTTTAATTAGTAAGGTTTTTTTAATCGATATATTTTCCTAGTTTCCTCCGAGGTTCACCCCCCCCCCCGCCAAACAATGTTGATGACTGTAAAATTTACAAAGTTACATATTAACTGATATGAGGGAAGCAAGGTGTAACGATATAATTAATTGAAAGGTACTAAGATAATTTCTTTTTCACTGTTGATCTTTTCTACTTGTTTAAACGTTTGAGCAAGGGGCATCTTTACGTTGACGACTTCTTGAAGTGCAAGACATCGGTATGGTTGTATCATCGGGAACACTTCCCTTGTGTTATTTCGTAAATGTTTTCTTGCGTATGTCTGACCGAACACTTACCGTATTTAAAGGGCCCATGCAAAGTTAATTTTCAATACAAACCTTGAAATATACACATATGCCTTCTCCGTTTTATGCTAATGCAACCTTAGTTTCACATTCATTAGAATACCTGTGATGGCATTCCGGGCATGATTAATGTTACATGGCTATTTAAGCACAAAAAGCTGCTAGAATTTTGGATATTTCGCTGTTATAAATTTCTTTCATTTGGTGATTCTTTGATGTGTCAGTATGCATGGCAGTAAGACAGTGAGCAACCCTTTCCCACAAATGTTTTCAATTAGCCAATTTTGGATGAATAATTTGAAAGAAAACCCCCAAAACTGAACAGTGTCTTCCTGAAATGACATGACAGTTACAGCGCGCTCATACGTAGTCCGGAAAAGCATGGAAACGTTTAAATGTTTAACCCTAAAATAAAAGGGCCGGTTGTTTTGATGATCTCTCAGCCGGGGGAAGATTCCGCCCCGGTCCCTTTAAGGTTAAAGAAATGCACTTTTGCTATAAGATTAACCCCCAAAAATGTTAAGGAATACGTACACGTATAAAGTCTTAAAAGACGTTTGACAAAATGAGAAATATGTTTGCCCATTAATGAAAACGAATGCCCGATCAACCACTTACTGCTGGTTTAGACAAAATTGAATGAACAACGCGATACTTTTAATATGAATGCATCTTTTACAGGGAGGAGTGAAGCTAAAAGGCGATAGATTGCTCGGATAGTGAAATTGAATGATTCTTTTTGATTGTCGAATGCCGATCTGCGTGTTCTTTCAATTTCAATCTAAATCGAATGAGCCAGGCGTTAAATTGAATGAAAGTAAAATCTGTCCCGAGCCAATGTGGCTCATCAGGCCGGCGTTTATCTCCGGTTTCCGTAGCATGAAACGACTGAGAATATTTCTACTCCCCCTGGATTGGGATGCTAGTCCATCGCAGGTTACTCCCCAGCTTATGCCGGCACCCATTTATACTCCTGGGTGGAGAGAGGCAAGTGGGGGGTGAAGAGCCTTGCCCAAGGACACAATATATGACCAGCGTCTGGATTCGAACCCCGGACCCTCTGATCAAGAGTCACGAACCCTAACCACTAGGCCACACGATCCCCCAGTTGAATGAAAACTTGGTGAAATTGGCCGGGAAAACCTATAGTAATTGAAAATGCCTTCTTTCGTTGATTTCTTCACAATGACAACGTGCCAGAAGGATTAATTTTACAGGGATTTTAAGTCCCCTTACTTACTTATTTTTCAACAATATGTTTTCCAACAATAATAACATAATAATAATATTTGGATAGCTGCAAATGATGGACTGTAGCTTCAAATATCACAGTGTTATTTTCATTAAGGTTTTAATAGGGTATTTGTGCCATTAAGCAACTCGGTGAATTTGAAGCTCATCAATACCGAGGTTTCACAGGACTTCTTGTTTATCTAAGGACAATTTTGTGTATAATGTATATTATCATGTTTAAATGTTCAGTAATTTTTTAGTTAAAGTATATAAGTATATTTTAAATATGTTGAATGCGTGTGTCTCAAAGAAGAAAAAAAATTGTGTATAATGATTTTTTGATGTTGATTTATAACAGTACTTTTGCAAAATTTACAAAACACTTGTAACAATAATCGCATACAATTAATGTGGACTGTTCTTTACAAGGCATTATTGTACACATAGAAGGAAATCTTAAAAACTTGCAGGTTCAAAATCCGCTCCAAGTCAGTTTTTGTCGTTGAAATTTTAATGCACCCTATATGAATTTATATTTTGAGCGCCATATTGTACGTGACTGCATCTCTTAAAGTGTCAAAATTTCGACTGGTTGTTGGTTGTAAATCTTACCAAGCGTTTGGTATTTCTGAAGTCCCTGGGACCATTGCATCAATGCATAAATAGTTTCTTATTCGTTAACAAACAAACATGGGCTGATCTTCGTTACATCTGAAACTTAATCTTTTTTTATATATCTTTTATTGTATATTTTGGATTTTTTCTTTAAGTTAATTTATTACACACAAATGAGGGAAAAAGTAACGCATGCAGAAGACATTGTTGGTTCACTAAAATACATACATCGTAACAATTTAGGCTGCTTTTTTTCAGTTTGGAACACTGTTTTGTATTTGTATTTGCATTTAATTGTATATTTTTCTATTCTTAGATTTATTTGAACCAAGTGCAGTTAGCAGATACATAATTATGATCTTAGATGATTTTGATTTTAGAATGTTATATCTTAGATAAATGAGGCCATGTCATTAAAACAATTTTCCTATATCGTGAAACGGACCAAAGTGGCATTTGCAGTTAAAATTTAAAATTCTTAAGAAAAAGAGAAAAAAAAGTCAAATGTTAAACGGGTAGTATAATAATTTAAAGGAGCTATATTTTATGTCTTTCAGTGGTATGTGGGTATCAGAAGAGTGTTATTTTGCTAAACTTGTTTATTTTGTTTGTATTCGGAGAAAATCAGATAGATAATATGAATATAATATCTACCTTGGTCCAGTGCCTTATTTGCAAATTAGTGACTCTTTGAAGATGTTGGTTCACTGCTTGAATGAGGAATTGTTAAAACGATTTCTGTAGTGCCAAGATTAAATTTGACACACACAAAACATGGTTTGAGATTTCTATGGTCATTTCCTAAAAAGTTCATTTTCCATATCGAAAAGTTTGTCCCAACTTTTTTATTTTGTTTGAATTCAGAGAAAATCAGATTAGTAAAACGGATATAATTTCTACCGCGGTCAAGTGCCTGAATTTGCAAATTACTGATTTTTTTAAGATATAAATGGTTCACTGCTCAATTGAGGAATTATTCAAACGACTTCTGTGGTACCCAGATTCAATTATGTAGCCAAAAATGTATTGGTTTGATATTTGGCAATTAAACAGTTATCTAAGTTTGTCCTACCTCTCTTATATACGGCTTTCGCTATATTTGATGACACCTTTGTAGTCTCGAGCACATCCAGAAAATGCCCCTCAAATTTCCGCAAATGCCCCTAAAATACCCATAAACTCTTAATCACACCAAATTTACCAAAATGTCATCAAATGCAACCAATTGGGGCAAATGGGTCCCATGAATGACCCCAAATACTTTCTAATAGAAATAAATGTTGCCAAATGTCCCATAGAGCACACAAAGGTTCGCAATTACCCCGAATGCTCCCAAATGTGAGCAAAGGCATCGAAATGACAATAAATCCACTCAAATACTCCTTAATCCTGTCAAATGGCAATAAATCGCCAAAGTGATCCGAAAATGCACCCAAATGCTCTGTAAAAGGCAATAAATGACCGGGGGAAACAAAAAAAAATTCACTCAAATGGCAATATTTGCCTCGTTATAAACGCCAGCCAATGTTTCCAAACTACTTTCAAATGGCAATAAATGTGCCCAAATGCAACCAACGAATCCAACTTGGTATCAAATGGCAAAAGTTTTCGCACATACACCCAAATGGCAATAGATGCCACCAAACGCTTTCAAATAACTTCCAAGTGGCAAAAAACATACGTTGCCAAATAACAAAAGTCCTTTAATACCCCCAAACAACTAACATGTCCCAAAATGCCTCAAATGCACACAAATGCACTTCAATATCCGCAAATGCACCCAAATGAACTCAAATACACAAGAATATGCACT